TTTATTACCAGAATGTATAAATCTAATCTTTGTGGAGGTTTGGGAACAGTACATATAAACATCCAGAAATAGTTCAATGTTGTCTGCAGTACATACTACTAATGATAAATTGTACCCCAAAAAGGCCCCAGGTGGTTGGGTGGTGGTAGCTCTGGTGTCCTGGGTCCAGCCTACCTGGGCTGTTTACTGTGTGGATTGTTTACTTGACTGAAATGCACGAGTTCTGTCTCAGTTACAAAGCCACGGCCCCCAACCCGGAGGCTGTGGGGTTAGGGAAGCTGCCGCGCTGGCTCCTAACCCCGGTTCTTGATCCAGAGGCCACCAATCTGTGACTTCCTCGGCGTCCGATGTCACGTGGCCTCCACCAACCTCAGGGCCAGGTGTGAGCTGGCAGGTTCTGAAGGGTCCTTGGGAACAGTGCTAGGGCCCAGGCCAGCAGCTGAAGGCCAAGGTTCGGATCCATTTTCTGTCCGCGTTGACATACTCTGCCACCAGCCAACTCAGGAAGGTTCCTAATGGGTCCTACTCCCCGCAGGGTGGGTGAGTGGCCTGGGGGCCAGGAAACAGGCCGACTGGATCTTTCAAGCACTTAACTGTGGTTATCCCACATCCTGGGATCGAGCCCCCATCCACCCCTACTCTGGGTTTGCTGGCCTGAACACTGCTCAGGCCATGCTCACAGCCAATGGAGGTGGTCATGTCTGGTGACCCCAGTCTCTGGACCTCCCTGTGGGGCCTGCTGAGTGGGGCGGCCATTCAGGTTTCAGCTACCTTTTGTGGGACCTGCCAAGCCCACCTCCCAAGACCCACCCCTGCTCACAATTCTGAGCACAGCCCCCCAGTTTCTATGCATCCCTGTACCTAGGTGCCTACCAGTCACCTCTTCAGGAGGGATCTTCAGGCCTAGGCACTTCCCAATGCCCCCCATTTAGTGAGCCCAGAAGCCTTGGTCTATTCACCTCTACTCCCCTGCCCAAAAAAGGGGGACCCCCAAGATGGAAAAGAAGCCCGGGTCCGGAAGGGAGTTGAGGTTTAACGTTTCTCCCAGCACCTTCAGGGGCCAGGACCCAAATGTCAGAACTGGGGCAGGCAATCCCTGATGCCACACTGGGACTTGGGGCCACCGGGGGAAGGGGCCCCCCCAAACCCTCCTCCCACCCCTTGGCCTCCCCCCCGCAAACAAAACACAAAGAACAGCAAAATCAAGCAAATGAGGCAGCAGCGGTCGTTAACAGGCTGCGTTTAGTGGTTTTATGTACAAGAAAACGGTTGTTGGTTTTTTTCTGGTTTTTCATCAACTTTTGTCTTTTTTGTTTGTGTTTTTTTTTGTTTTTTTTTTGTATGTTTTGTTTTTTATTACTTTAAAGCTTCCCTCCCACCCCCAAAAGTGCATCAATTTTATCATCTCCCACACATTATAAAGACTCTCAAATACAATCTATGGAATGTCTGCTCTGTGCTGGGCCCCCCATGGGCGCTGCTGCAGCCCCCCTATTTGCCAGGCCTAGCCCCCCAAAGTCCAAGGCACCTCAAGTCCAGGCCCAGGGGAGGAGATCTGGGCATCACGACCCCCATCCACAGGCAGATGGTGTCCCCCCAGTCCCCTCCATCTCTGGGCCCTGCCCCCCCCTGTAAATCTATGTACTTAATGCGAGCTCTTCTTCAAGGTGGTGGCTCTTGGGGTGCTCGAGCCCCCAGACCCCTGACCCGTCCTGCGCCAGCCAACCCTCCCACCATCTCTGGGAAGGCTGATTCTTCAGCTTAAATAACTTTTTAAAATAAAACTGCAAATATAAATATCTTTCTTTCTCAAAAAATAGGATTTCTTGGGCGCTTTTTTTGTTTTTTTAAAGTTTTTCTCCTTTTTTTTTTCTTTTTCCTTTTTTTGTGCCTCTTCGTCTCTCCATTTCACCTCTTACAATTCCTACTGTCTCAACCTCGGGTGAGTGGGAGGGCAGGGCAGGCCCTCGCCCGGCCTCAGTTTCTCCGTGTGCAACACACTGTTCTGGCCACAGGGGCTCAGCAGTGCCAGGAACTCTCTGGAAAGGGGGGGCTGGGGCACCCCTCCCTTTGGAGACCCCACAGCGTAGAAGTAGGAAGGCTGCCAGAATGGCTGGCCTTGTGGGGTCTACCGGCCATCACCCGAGGGGCTGACTTTGGTATGAGGTGGCTGGCACAGGGCCACCCCTGGGCCAGACCAGGCTTGCTCATGCATTTTTACATTCACTAGTTGTAAATTTTTTTTTTTTAATTTTTTTGTTTTCCCTTAATCTCAAAAGGCAGGGGACTGGGGTGGGGGTGGGGAGGTCTGGGCAAATGGAGCAGCAATATCTGGAGCAAGAATGTCCCTCTCCCTGGCTGACCACTGCTGCTGAGGGGGGCTCTGGCCCCTCTCCATCCACCCACCCTGCTCTCCTCCCCCAGAGACCCCCTACCCAGAGCCCTCACCTGAAGTGGGCAGGGGGGCGCCTGGACCACTCTCTCTCTCTCTCTCTCTCACACACACACACACACACACACACACACGATAATGGAAATAACAATTTTGCTTGGTAGTTTTGTTTTATGTACCAGGCAGTTAAAAAAAAAAAAAGCCCTCCCCCAACACACACACACACACACACACACACACTAAAAAAAAAACAACACCCAATCAAACAAAAAAAAAAACCCAAAACCTTTTGCGCCATCCTCTCTCGAGTCAGCCGGTCCCTCTTTTTGTTTGCTTGTTTGTTTTCCTGAAACGCGAGAATTCAGCAGTATCTTTGGCAACACTTTATCACGACCTTAATTTAAAGAATAAAAATAAAATCGATCCACGTCTATATACAGTATGTGATTGCGGGGGGCGGGGGCGGGCGGGAAGGACAGGGGTCCCGCCGGGCCCATGCAGCCGCGGCCGGCCCAGGGGAGGTTAAGGCAGAGTGGGGCAGGGCTGCAGAAGCTGAGCGGAGCTGGGGGGTTAGTGCACCTCCGGGGAGGCTGTGTCCAAGTGTTGCCTGGTCTCTGCGGCAGTCCCAGGGGGCTCCATCCCCCAAGTCCGGTCGCCCCCACTGGCCAGGACGACAGGTGTGATTTTTTTTTTCCAACTGGTTTTATTGCGAGGGGATATGGAAGGGTGGTCGAGGACCCTCCCCTCGGGGAACCTCTCTGGAGTTGGGGAGGTGGTGAGGGGTCAGGGCCCAGTCTCTGGCCGGGCGCCTCCAGAGACAGTCCCCCAAGAGTTTTCGCCCTGTGACTCTCGGGCCCGGGCCTACGCCCTCCACCGGCCCCAGAGGGGGATCCTGAGACATATTGGGGCGGGGAGGCTGCTGACGGGCTGGGGAGAAGGAAAAGAAACGATCCTGTAGAAACTATGATGAAAACTGCCTTCTTAAAAAGCTTCCCTTTAAAAAAAAAGAAAAGAAAAAGGAGACGAGACATTGGGCACGGGAGACACTGGGCACGGGAGACGGGCTGGCGGCCAAGGGCGGGAGGGGACAGCCACCCTTTTGGGCTTTGACAGAGTATCTCTGATTAGCAGGGGGTCTATTTACAGGGTCCCACGTTAGGATTTGCATATGCAAGAGGGAGCTGGGGGTGGGAGGGCGCCCTGGCATCTGGAAACGTCATCTCCCCGACCCTGGCCCCTGTCCGTGGCCTGAGGCTCGGTCAACACCGGCCTTTTGGGAGCCAGAGTTTGGGGGGGGAGGCAGGTACCAGCCCCCAGAGTACAGTCAGTGCCTGTGAGTGAAAAGAAGTGGGCCGGGACAGGGTGGGGTGTAAGGCCCCGGAGGTAGGGCTCCCTCTGTGGCCCACCTCCGTGGGGATGGCGTGTCCTTGGTGGCCACGTGGAAGGGCGGCCATGTTGGAAGGAAGCCCAAGAGCAGGCAAGGAGGAAGAGGGAGGAAGGAAGGAAGGAGGTGGGGGAAGTGGGGAGAAGGAGGGGAGACGGGGAGGGAATGGGGGAGTGGACTGGATTGCTCTGGCTGGTTGGAAGGCCAGCCCTCTCTCGGGCCCATCCCTGAGCTAGGGAGTTAAGGAAGAGGGTCCCCATCCACAGATGCTGCCACTGGTATGGCTAACAATGGGGGAGATCTCCCCATTTTAGGAGGGGACCCAAAAAAAAATCACAAGAGAAGAGAATGGGAGGGCGGGGGACACAGAACAAACAAAAACCCACAGTGAAGTAGAGACTCCTCAGAAGGCTTTTCGGGGGGCCCTCCCCAAAGCCTACCTGACAACCCCCCCGCCCTCGCCTTGGGGAACAGAAGTGGATTCTACGTTTGTGGTGGGGTGGTTCTTTTTTTATTATTTTGTACAAAAATAAATCGACTTTTAGGAATTTCTTAGACTCGCTCTCTCTCTCGCTCGCTCGCTCTCGCTCTCATATATATATATATTTTTTTGTCTTTTCAACTTTTCATAGAAGTTGGTTACAACTTGTAAACATGTTTTTAAATTAAGAATTAAGATAAAGTATAGTACCCGTTCTCTGACAAAGTGCCAAGACTTCAAATGGGGTTGGTGGCCTTTTTTGTGGGTTGGTTGGGTTGGGTGCTGTTTTTTTTTTTCCTTTCATTTTGTAAAATCTCGGTTTTTTTATTGCTTTTGTGGCATTGGAACTTCTAGCTTCTTCTCCTGTGCTCTCCTGTGACCCATTCCTGGGTTCCCTCACTCCTGGCTACACTCACCCACCCTCCTACTTGCTCCTCTGAGGATAAGTATATTTCATATATATATATCTTTTAAGGAGGAAGGGGGTGGGGAAACCCAAAAAAAAAAACAACCAAAAACCAAAAACAAAAAACAAATCTAAAAAGTGCTTTTAAAAATCGGGAGAGGGCGACCGAGGAGGGGAAGACAAGAAGTTTGGACTCTTCAAGCCTCTGGTGGTGGCGGGGTGAGGGGACGCGGGGGACCTGGGGTGGGGGCTGCGCCCCCGGGGGTCCTGCCGGGTTGTAAGTGCCGTGAATGGAGGCGGCGGGACCCCCGGGGGGAGCATCCTGGTACCCCAACCCTCAATCCCAGTGTGACCCCGTTTCTCCAGGCCGGGAAATAAATAGATTTGTGTCTCGTTGGCCAGGAGATGGTGGGGATGGGAGGCCAGAAGCAGGAAAGGGATGCGGGGAGCCCGTTCAGGAGATTCGGGGGGAGACCCCCCTTAATAAGTGCCCTGAGGAAGGAGGTGGGGGGTCGGGGACGGGGCCATTTTAACGTCCGCTCATAGCGGACGGAAAGCATTTTTTTTAAGGTCTTCTCTAAAAGACTCGTAGAAACCAGCGAGTGGAGGGAAAGAAGAGGTCACCCCAATCTCCGGGCCCCCTGGGGCCCCCTCGCCCCAGCCCAGGGCCCGCCACCGGGCGGGAAACCCCTGTGTCCCTCCAAACCCCCACACCAGGCCCCGAAACCCAGCGACAGGGTGGCGCGGAGGGGGTCGGGGAGAGGGGTCCCCGAGCGGGGAGAGACATTGGAAGGAAGAGAATCTAAGAAAAGCCTAGCTAGGACCTGCTCTGCTTATATATATATATCTGTGTATATATATATATATAGATATAGAGATCTGTATAGAGTTGCTGTTTGTGTCTGGGGCGGTGGGGTGCGCTCACGCTCGGGTTTCTGGTTGCTTTTTGGTTTCTAGGCGAGTC